TCCAACCCAGGGCATCCCAGTCAATCCAACCCAGGGCCTCCCAGTCAATCCAACTTGGACTGATGGCCAGAATAGGTTCCAAAGGAATGTGTTCTCTTCCAAGGAGTGCAGCATGGCCAGAATGCTGTCTCATTTTTGTGGCACTGGTCTCTGGCAATGAACCACTCAAAACTGGAAGAAGTAACAAAGGCTACCCCTGAGAGGCCCTCAAGGTGGACAGACAATCCCCCCCAAAATTGACATCGATCTGGCTGTGATTTTGGGGATGGAATTACACAGCAAAGCAACAAAATCATGAAAACTGCAGCACACTTATTCCTTGTTTTTAGACTTCTTTAGCATGCCTAATATCATGCATATACATGTAGTCCTCAACTTGCCTGTTTCAGCACTGGGGGGGGGGAGTCAGGTTAGCGTAGTGGTTCTATCCTTGCCTTCCAACTCAACGGTCCAGGTTAGATACCCAGCTCAGTCCACATGTCCTTCCTGATTCCATAGGTTTCACCCAGAATACTCTAAAACTGTAACTTTTTCTCACTGTCTCCCTTCAGGTTTCTTCAGGCTTACCAGCTACAGTACCTTGCAAGCACTTTTGAAGAATCATTTGGTTTCATACCAAAAAGACTCAATAATATTAATAGTAAGGTAGCAAGTCAAGGTTGCCAGGCAAACATCAGACATATCCCAACCCCCAAATTATCCTGATAATCATGACCAATGTATACTGGCTCAAAATAAGATCCCCAAATCTTGATATCTGCATGATTAAACCTATTGGTGTAGAAAGCATCGACCAGTCACAATTAAAAGCATTAATGGTACGACAGTGAATACTTCACAAGAATTCAGTTGTGGAATTTTGAGGTTCATAGATGCTTCCACACAGGATCTCATTACAGCTGATGTTGTGGTGTGATGTGGACTTACATGTATATTCTACACCCAAGTGTGCTTATAAAGCTAAGATTACCAGTTTGGTACATGTACCTGTCATTTGGGTTCATCAAAATTGTGGACTGTCAGAAGTTTTCATTCCCTCTCATGATGACACAAAAAGAAAAGTGGCTTACCAGCCGAGGTGTGCCTTGCAATGTGGACATGTTGCTATCCGCCAGGAGTAGGCAGGGAACCAGCTATGCTCAGTAAAGGCCTACATGTACATAGAAAAAAACAAACAAAAAACTGAAGTCAGACTTGGACTTGAATATGCATAAGTAACAATGCTTTGATTGAATGCAGCATCAAACAAACAAGTCCTTTAGATTTTTCAAGTGTTGTCTTCAATTTCTGAATACTTCTCCAGACTCTTTATTTTTCCAACACTCTGAAAATTCTTCAACACCTCCATAACAGTGCCCATATTCCATAAACCAAGTTTTAAACAATGCACAATTTCACATTATTTTCTTTACCTTCTTACAAAGAGAAACCCAATGAAATACAAGTTGTTTTGCTTAACAATTGGACTCTTGGAATTGTACAATGACATTTTACATGTAAGTGTCTTACACTTTCATGTGTTTTGGTTTCTGTCCTGTAGGGAAATGAAAACACTCCATGATAGTTTTCATTAAAAAAACAGCAAGAATCTCCCTTCATTAGATTTTAACTGCAAGGAATCTGATTTATGATTACAGAGTTCAAAGGTCACAAGACATCTGCATGTCCCCCGAAAGTGCAAATCATGAAAATATTAAAATAGCCTTTCTGGAGGTTAAGACAGAACTGATACAAAAATAGTGTACTTGGTGGAAAAATTGTTTTACCAAAAAGTCTTTAAATTAAATCCTCAAACATATTTTAAAAAAAAGTTTCAAAAAGAAAGAACGAACCAATAGATGCAAATAGTTTAATTTAAAGGAAAAAAGGCCAACTTAAAAAACCTTGCATTTAAATAAACTTATGTTGCTTCTAATTCAGCACTAATAAAAATAAAATTCCACTTTATTGGCTGCAATTTCAAAATATTTTAATTGCACAAATATAATATCACACAAAATATGGAAAATTGTAGAGTTTTTTCAAATAGGAGTCCTCCACGCTCAACCTATCCAACAGTCACTATATATGCAGAGTAGCAATGTACGCTGGTGGAGGATTGGCAAGGACGCACTGAAAGTGAGGAAAACCATGAGGAATGAGGCACCATGAGGTGAATGATGAGGGTGTGGCGCGACAACTGACACCTTTTTGTGGTGGACTCAGCAGACTGGCCTGATCGGAGATAGAATTGACCTGGTCTGACCCCACAAATATATTTATTTAACCTTACGCAAGGATGAGCGGCTACCCTGACACAAGGGGGGATATCAGCTAAC